TGTATTAACAAGTCTACACAATCTTTCGACCACTTTGTTATTCCTAACGATGCAATGAAAAATGTAATTAGATCAGAATTAGGCTTCTTTGCTATGGGATTGAACTTAATATCTAGTCTAGAAAGGAGAGTGAAAAGTGTCTTCTCCAGTCGACCATTTGTGTCTAATGCATCAAGATTTCAATTCATGGATTTCTTTGTTCTTAAAATCAAGATAAGAGAATACTCTTCTCTTCTTTTAATTTCAATAAAATCCCTAAATGTTAATATTCAACACATCATGTATTATGGTCATCATAACTTACTCATCTAACTATTCAAGATTAACGATTCGGCTTGAATTATTAATATTAATAAATGTAATAAATCGACCATTTCAAGTAACAAAAATTTGATGAAAGTAAGTGAGATCACACGTCCATGTCAAAGTAGTGCCACCCTAGGCTGATCGGTGGACCAACAATACAGTACAAAATTATGTCACAAGGTACACTCACCTAGATCTATCAAATTATATGTCTACCAAATTAATAATTGAAGTATCATTAATTAATTAATTATAATTGTTTAATGACAAGCCCTTATTGATTGACCAAGGCAACCACCCTCTATACGCCCTATGTTGAGCCCACTTGAATTATACTCAAGATTGGACTCAAATTAATAGGACAAGGAAAATTAAATTCTAAGCAAAAAAATTACTCCAAATTCTACCTTTCAACTTTCAATTTCAAATATCACTGCCCCACACCACAACAACCCTTCAAATAGAAATTGAAAAAAATTTCTGTTGTCCACATTTTTTGAGGACAACGAGAAGAGTGATGGATCCAATCCCAATGAGAGGAACGGGCGACGAACTGGAGGAGCAGGGAGAGGAGGTAGCAAAACTAGATGATTAAGTGGAGAGCAAATTGTTTTTTGAGGGAAGGAGCGGTTGGGGGCAAACCATTGTTGTTAACCTCGTGAATTGGACCTTGCATGTGGCTAACGGTGAGCTACTCCATGTTTTCCTCCCTTGCGTGCAACAACAAACTGTCAAGTGTATATGGCCGGTCATGGTGGTAGTGGTGGCAGCCACATACACTCCAACAATCAAGTCGGTCGACGGTGGTGGCGATGACACCAGAATGCCCAAGCTAAATTGGGGGAGGAGAAAATATAATTACTTTGTTAAGGAATGCTTATCCTTACTCTTGCCCAAACCTTTGGTATTTATAGGCAAAGGGCAATGCTAGATGTATGACACATGTGATCGTCCGTCGGTGTGAGACGTCTGCTCGTAGGCATCTATTAATCGCTTCCTAGGTGGCTGGACAATTAATTCGGAGATGACATATGTTAGAGATGTCACATCAATCATTCCTAAAGATACAAAAAAAAATCTTGACTAGAAGATCTTTGAAATTGGTGGCGGAGAGGTGTCTCTTTTCTCCAAGACGTGGTGCCTCTTCGCACTTTGGAATAAACGGTTCGGACGATATTACTTTGGCCATGTAAAGTCTCGAACTGTATCAGTTCGATAATAATACGCCTTGGACCATATCACTTTGGTAATATGTAAGGCGCGTAACAGTGGTCCCCCAAGTTTAGGGATGAATATTCATATCATCAGTGGACTTTTAAGATCTAGATGTAAGGTTGGTGCTTAGATTGCGTGTATGTTAAAGCTTTTAAGTAGATAAACCCATCTTAACTAAGGCGCTGACCCACAAGGGACGACGTGTGGGAGATAGCTAAAGCTTTTAATTGATTAAGCTCATCTCAATCGAGATGCTGACCCATAGGACACGACACGTGGAAGATGACTAAAGCTTTTAATTGATTGAGCTCACCTCGACCTAGGTGCTAACCCACAAGGGACGATGCATGGGAGATGGCTAAAGCTTTTAATTGATTGATGGGAGCCGAAGCGTGTTCCTCTCCGAGGTAGGCAATGATTTGAAAGCTCTCGCATGTTTCCAAGGAGAACAGTTAGATGTGACATCTATTTACCAGGAAAGGCTGCTTCTACTACTCATAGCAGACGGCTGTTGAGGCTCAAGGTAAAGCGCTTTGGACTTTCATGAAAATTACTGCAAGATCCTGTGTGTTGATTGAATTTGATGTTTCATTTTAACGGTGTAGATTTATGATTCGATGTATAGCCCGGATCATTTGGTTTTGAATTCAACGGCGGAGATCATGCAAGGCTTCCATAAAAGGCGTTCCCCATTTCCTTTGCAAGTTTTTACTTTGGCAAAATTTCACTTTCTTGCTTTTGAATCTCTGCGTTCATCAAAACTTTCGACGACTGTTCTACGTGTTGGGTCATTTTTTGATGACTTTTAGTGTGCTTTTTCGTGTTTTCTTGCGGCGAACTTAGTTTCCAATTCATTTTGGTTGTCGATGGTGTTGGTACTAATGGCGATGGGGGTGGCAGCGGTGGTAGCAATGGTGTGAGGTGGCAATAGTATTCGGGCGGTGGTGAAGTGTGTTGTGGAGGATAAAGAGCATTTGTAACCAATTATTTGGTTAATTTTAAGTAATTTGTAATCAATGAATAAATTATGACATATAAAAATATGTGATTTGTGATTAAGAGCCTATTTGGCTCGGACTAAAATTTGATTTTAATTTAAGTTATAGTCAAACAATTTATAATAACTACATTTTTTATGGATTCACAATTTTTCAATCAAATATTTGAAAATTTTCTATCACAATCTACTAAAAAATTTAATTTTAATCCCTACCAATCACCCTTGAAACTTGTAATTGTTATTCATATTTTACGTCCTTTTGACTTTAACATTGTATAATTTGTAATTAGTATGCAATTGTTACCATAAATTATATGTTATTGCAACTTTAACATATTTAATTAATAAACGGGTAACAAGAATTTGATCAAGTGATTTTTGAAAGAATTCAACAAGTTTATTAAATTTGATCACCCAATTATTGAAAGAGTTCCGCAAATTTCTTAAATTGGGTTGTTTGAGCCCCATTCTTATTTAAAAATGTATTTTACAATAGTATTATGATGGAGAATGTATGATTAAAAAATAAGAAATTTTTTTGAATTGACATGTAATATTATTTTATTAAAGAATGTAGGATTAAAATGAAATTATATTATTGTTTAAATATGCCTTTTAATATATAAAAAATGGAGCTCAAACAAGGGCTTAAAGTGTATTTTGAACTATGATAATTATATATTTTTCTCTTATTAATTAGTGAGAGAATTAGGCTCTGTTCGTGACCCTTTCATTTCAAAAATTGGAGTATGGAATAATGATTGATGTTGAAATGTGTGGTTAAAAAAGAAGGAATTTTTTTTATATATGTGTATTATTATTTATAGAGAACGTGTGATTGAAAATGAGTATCATAAAAAAAAAATAATGTTGAAGAACGTGAGAGAATGGTTGACAAAGACTTAATCACAAAGAAGTTTAAGATATCTTTTTTAGTACAGGTTTGAGAAATTCAGTTTTTTCTACGACTACGAGCACATTTCTAGTCTGCCCTTTAGTAGAATTTAAGGCGGCAATTACGAGCTATGAGGTCAAAGCGAAATTGCGCCTTTCTACTGGTGGACGGTGGTGGACTGGAATATGTTACAAAATCCACATGTCACATATTAAACTTCAAAGTCCTCTCGCATAATTAATGTCACCCACTTACCAAGTTAAAGAAAAGCTGAAACTACAATTAATATACATGACATTGCACATGGAAGATTCTTCTACATGCAAAATTTATATTGAAGTCAGAACTTAGAAACCCATAATACAAAATTTCAAATATTTCATGGGTAATATGTTAAATAGTGTATAAAAGTTACTTCATTTTAAGCTGCTTTTTTTTCTGGATTTTATGAGCGAATGTTGACACACACACAAAAAAAAGGGGTAATTTAAAAGTAATTTTTGAATCGATACAATACACAGCTTGAGAGATTCAGGATAGATGCACTGACAATATCAAAATTCAAGATTCCAAAACATTGTTCATATTCATGCATCAAACAAAGAAGAAAATCCAGAAATAAGTAAAATTCATAATAGTATCACGTGCATTGCAAATTACGTTACTGGTTAATTAATAATTAAGTAAAGAGAAAACGTTAAAGAGTTTTAAGTCTTCCAACCCCCAAAACAAATTAACGAACAAGCAAAAAACACTTTTTTTTTGGCTAATTATTCTTCAGATTTCATTACTGACCAAAGTCTTGTTCATAGAGCTCTTGCAATGCGCGATTGCACCCTGGATTGCACTCTGCAACTCCTCCATGGAAGAAGAAGAATCCGAATACCCGTTCACAGGTTGAACTGAGAACCCCTTTTTACTGATAACCCCAGAGTGGCTCGGTGATGATCTCATGGACGATGGACAGCTCGAACCTATGCAATTTCTACGTCTGGGATATCTTAAATTCCCCGAGAATGAGTGTGAAATTGTTGCATTGGTGTTCTCTTTTCGAGAATTTTCATGCGCAGAGATTTGAGATGTTTTTTCGATGGATCCATCGGGTTTTGAGGGAATTTTCTGTTGATGTTTTTGCGAGAGTTTTTCGTATAAAGGCTTGACTTTTTTCAAGTACTTTCGAATGACGTCTCTAGCAGTTGAACTCACACGCTTCACAGATGATGAAGGTGTGGTTGAAGATGAAGATGAAGATGTGTTTTTGGGTTCTTTACGAAAAACCGAAGAGAATCGAGAGAGGGAGAAGTATTTCGATGATTTTTTTGGATAATTGAGTGAAGAGGTGGTGGTGTTTAGGCTTTTGAATTCGTCGTCAGTGGCGGAGCTGGGGCGGGAGGAGTCGCAGTCGGGGAGGTGGTGGAGAAGGAGGTCACTGGATGTGGAGGAGTGAAAAAAAGAAGGGAAATTGAGGGTAAGTATTTTAAATTTCTTTGTGTTGTCTAAGTACAAATATCATGAGAAATACTCAAGTGCAACAAAATATTTCCTGCATTTTCTTGTTCCTTGGGAACACTTCCCTTTATATATTTCCATCTCATTAAAATGGATCCAAACTGCCCCGGAAAATTTAGGAACCCTCTTCATACCAACAGCAATGGGATTTTCTGGATTTTCAAGCATGAGGGCATGTCTTGGATGGCCAAAGTTTGGCTGCATCTGGTTTGTGCTTGTGCATGATATTCTGATAATATCGCGTAATTGGGTATACTTTCCTAGTTATAATATTTATTTTGTGAATATCTATTCTAACCTTTCAAGAGTCTTTGTAGGTGACGGAGCAACCAGCTATGCTTCAAGGTGGAGAGTTAAGACCGTATCAGTTAGAGGGCCTTCAATGGATGCTGTCTTTGTTCAATAACAACTTAAATGGAATTTTAGCAGATGAAATGGGGTTGGGTAAGACAATTCAGGCAATATCTCTGATTGCTTATCTCATCGAAAACAAAGGTGTTACCGGGCCCCACTTGATTGTGGCCCCAAAGGCTGTCCTTCCAAATTGGATCAATGAATTTTCAACTTGGGCTCCTAGGTATGCATATCCTACCATCCTCCCTGCCACGACCCTTATAACTAGTTTCCGTATAAATGCATTAGTGCTCATAGACTTTCTGCTTTTAGTGTTGCTGCTGTTCTTTATGATGGGCGACTGGAGGACAGAAAGGCAATGAGAGAAGAGTATTCAGGAGAAGGGAAGTTCAATGTTTTGATCACCCATTATGATCTTATTATTAGAGATAAAGCATTCTTGAAGAAAATTCACTGGTACTACCTGATTGTTGACGAAGGACATCGACTTAAAAATTCCGACTCTGTTCTTGCACGCACTCTTGTCTCTGGGTATGTTGCATTTAATCTGACCTGACCCAAGCATTTAATATCCTTAAATGCATAGCATCATCAAAAATCATTATTAATATCAGATGGTAGTGATTTTCTAATTGATTCTTGATCTGGACAGCTATCGAATTCGGCGGAGACTTCTGCTGACTGGTACTCCCATACAAAATAGCTTGCAGGAATTATGGTCTTTGCTTAATTTTCTCCTTCCAACTATATTTAATTCAGTTGAAAATTTTGAGGAGTGGTTTAATGCGCCCTTTGCGGACAAATGTGACGTCAGTTTGACAGATGAAGAACAATTATTAGTCATTCGGCGATTGCACCATGTAGGTATTGGTTTTATCGTGTGTTGTTCGTTATGCTATTCGAATTTCTGATGGTAACATTTTTATTCCTTTCCCATTCGTTCTAATGTATCCCCAGGTCATAAGGCCGTTCATATTGAGGAGGAAGAAAGATGAGGTGGAGAAGTTCCTTCCTACTAAATGTCAAGTCATACTTAAATGTGACATGTCTGCCTGGCAGAGAGTATATTATCAGCAAGTAACAGATGTGGGCAGGGTTGGGTTGGCTGGTGGTAAGTTTTCAATTTGCTGCTGCCTCTCTTTCTCTCTCTCTGGTATTATTTTATCTCTAAGGCAGTGACCTGTCTCTGGATTGTTTTACTGTTTAACTACTTTGTCTTGATGCAGAGTCATGTTCGTCACCAATAAAATGTCTTGCATGTGTTTTAGTTACTTCGTAATCACTATACGATGAAGTCCGGTTTGCAGCGAACACTCGTATTCAAAGAAATTAAAAGGAGTATTGGTAGACTTGTGTTTTGTTATAATTTTCAATAAAAATGTATAATAGTTTTTAGTTAGTCTGCCGGACATTGTTATGGACCAAGAAAGTGCCACATGTTATTTATTGGCTTCATTTCTTGTAAGAACCAAAGTTGCTCAAGAAGACCTTGATATTGAAATGAACTGTCCGTTTTTATGTTTTACAATCTGTGCTGCTTCTCGATGATCTATGATTATATTCTTCTGTTTTATCAATTCGATCTCTTGGTTTTCTCACCTTCCACTCTTCTGGTAATAGTAGGATAAGAAAAATGTTGTTTTTCTTTCTATTTAGTAGTTTGCAATAGAATGAATTATAAAATCTGTGCAACCTTTGTTGGGGCATGGCACTTTCCTCTCTTGAGGTTATTACCTTTTTCTTATTAGCTAATCTCATTACTGATGGCGTGAATTTCCAGGAACTGGAAAGTCCAAAAGCCTACAAAACCTGACAATGCAGCTCAGGAAATGTTGTAACCACCCATACTTATTTCTAGGCGATTATAATATGCTGCGCAGAGAGGAGATTTTCAGATCATCAGGAAAGTTTGAGCTTCTTGATCGCTTACTCCCCAAGCTTCATAAAGCTGGGCATAGAGTCCTCCTTTTCTCTCAGATGACACGGCTTATGACCATTCTTGGGTATTATCTGGAATTACATGGTTACAAGTTTCTTAGACTAGATGGCTCAACTAAAACAGAAGACAGGGGCGAATTGCTAAAAAAATTTAATGCTCCAGACTCTCCTTATTTCATATTTCTTCTAAGCACTCGTGCTGGAGGACTTGGTCTGAATTTGCAGTCTGCAGATACTGTGATAATTTTTGACAGTGACTGGAACCCTCAGATGGACCAACAAGCTGAGGATAGAGCACATCGCATTGGGCAGAAGAAGGAGGTGAGAGTTTTTGTTCTTGTCAGTGTTGGATCAATTGAAGAGGTTATCTTAGAACGAGCCAAGCAGAAAATGGGCATTGATGCCAAGGTCATCCAGGCAGGATTGTTCAATACAACTTCCACAGGTTTGTCCCTTTTGAAGATTTAAGGGAAACTTGCACCATAGGTTACCTATTTTCCCCCAACCTTTTAAAAGGGGAAAGTTGGTCGCCAACCTTCAAATACATGTTGTACCATCAGTCCTCAATGACAAAAACTGTCCAAATCTTTGTTAAATTTTTAGTAGATCCTCATGGAAACATACCTTATTGCTTCACTTCAAATTTCTGTTCTCCAGCTCAAGTTGGGAAGTTAAACCCAGCTTCATAGAGTTGGACATGAGGACCAGATGAGGATTAAACAGATACTTGGACAGTTTCTGTCATTAGTAACTGATTGTGCTACTATAATTTAAGGCTAGGGCCCAACTATAGTTGTCTCAGTCAACAATGTACTTCACTGTTTTCTTTCCCACTCTCTCATTGTTTATGCAGCTCAAGACAGGAGAGAGATGTTGGAAGAGATTATGCACAAAGGTACAAGCTCACTCGGAACGGATGTACCAAGTGAGAGAGAAATAAATCGTCTTGCTGCACGATCAGATGAGGAGTTTTGGTTGTTCGAGAAAATGGATGAAGAAAGAAGGCAGAAGGAGAATTACAGATCTCGTCTCATGGAAGAACACGAGGTACCAGATTGGGTATATACTGTGCCTGATATGAAAGAGAGCAGGGGGAAAGGATTTGACAATTTCACCGTTCTTGGAAAGAGACGCAGGAAAGAGGTGATCCGAGATGATACACTTACTGACTTGCAATGGATGAGGGCTGTGGAAAACGGAGAAGACTTATCTAAACCTCCTGTAAAAAGGAGAGAGAATCCTATGGTCTTGAACGATGAATTTCCTGGTAATACCGGAACTAGTAACTCCATAAGTGAGAAAGAAGCTGCAGAGTTGAAGAGTGAAACTGGTTCTCTCGTAAGCGAGGCAAAGAGTGAAGATACAATTGGCTGGACATCTCAAAGGTACAAGGAGTATGAAGCTGAAAGTTCTCAAAGAAATGGCTGTGAAAGTTTGGAAGGAGGGTTGAATGAATTGACATGGAGAGCATATAGGAGGAGGAGATCAAGCTTGATGTGATTCATAGAGGAAAAAGCGAAAGCAATGAAGCTGTAACAACTTTCTTTAGTAAATGTGTAACCAATTTGCAAATGCTGCTCTTGACTTTATTATTGTTTGTGTAAGATATGGGTTAAATGGATTGATTTATCGACTCTCCTTCTGAGTTTCCTTTTATTTTAGTAAGGCTTTAAGGTGAATGAATAATAGAAAATATTGTTTTTAGACATTCAAGCGTCGGATTGGACAAAGAAAAAAATATATTATCAATTTAAATTATAAAAAAATAGAAACGAGTGGTGAAAAAAATGGATAATACTTGGGAATTTTATTAAAGTTTTAGATAAGAATAGGTTCAATTATGGTATTTAAAATATAAACACATGTCAAGCAGTATCATAAATTCAACGCCTTGGGCCTCGTTTGATGCCCATTTTTGAAAGAATGAGAATAAAAAATATAGTCGTTATAGAATCCAAACAAGAAATAAATATGGTGGCTTGATGTGATAGATAATAATCATATTTTTTATTTTTGTGGCCAAATAATAAGAATCAAACAAGGGCTTGATTGCTAAGTAACTGAAAATTATGTAATGCAAAATCCAGAGAAGTTTGGCATCACATTCCTATTTTGTGGGGGCCATGACGTGAGCGCTAGCCCAGAGGGTTCTTTAAATTTTTTATATTATTTTATATCCTAATCAAAAAGGACAACAAGCTGGAATAGCTCAGTTGGTTAGAGCGTGTGGCTGTTAACCACAAGGTCGGAGGTTCAAGCCCTCCTTCTAGCGTTTCCGTTAACGGCTTCAACTTTTCTTTTGTGAAGAAATAATTTGCAACGTCGGTCCAACTTATTGTCCAAATAGCAAGTTAATCCCTACTTTTAAAAGAGAGCTATTTGGTATTCTATTCTCATTACAGGTGTACAATCGGATCAAAATAATTTTTTGGGGGATAATTTGCATCATTAGTCCACCGAGTTGGTCCTTAATATTGAAAGAGGTAGATTTATACCATAATTTTAATTAAACTTGCACAATCAATCTCTAATGATTAGGATGCTCCAAGTCTTCATTAAATTGATATTGTGATGTTCAAATTGAAACCATCTAATTTATTTGTTAGTCAAATAATTTAATCGATTATCTTGTGGTAATGCAAAAGAAATACTAACAAGAGTTGTACTCTCAATTTACCATTTCAATCCTCGACAAAGTAGGGTTTTATTTTGCAATTCCAATCTAAACTAGGGTTACTTCTCTATTCTAATCAAATACAACACAAACACGAACACCTCAATTTCAAAAAAGTGTACATACTATGATCATAGTATGAGGGCGGTTGAACAAGTCGGCTCCCATATTCTAATCGTTTAAGGCATCTCTCTTTCATGGAGGTGGTTAATTTCTTAAGGGTAGAATACACGAAAAGAAGTTGATCATGGAATACGAATAAGTCTAAAGTGGATTCTTCCCATATCGATGCTTGAGCGATTAATTTTTAGGTTGTGCACAATTAATTTATGCCCTTTTAATAATTGATGATGATGTGTCAGGACTATGGGGTGGGGTCATCGCTCCATGCACTTATTTTAAGCAATTCAAAATTAGATTTTGTTCTAAGTACATTTTAGTGTTCACTCTCCTCACAAGAGAGGAGCCCACGTAGCATTTCCCTTCAAAATTGTAGCATTTCGTACTTGATATTAAAATATACAATTTTTGACGCTAACACTTTGAATGGAAGGTGTGCGTGTGAATGAATCTCCCATGTCGGTTGAAAGGTACATATGCATATGACTTGTCTGTGTCCATCCCCATAGAAGTGGAGCCTCTTTTAATTGACAAGTGGAAAAGATATCTAAAAGGCTTCCTGATTGGCTCGCGTACATTACTGGTACCGGTGTTGTGGACCCAAAACATCCAATACCCACTCTAAGGCAGTGTTTGGATGGAAGCATAATTGGACTTTTTCTCTATTTGTGGCCTGGTCAAATTGAGCTCAACAGGCAAAATAAAATGTCGAATACTAAGATACACTTACATGGCATATTTGGTAGAGTGGGTAGTGTTAATTGAGTTTAGTTCAGTATTTTGTATCAAACACACGCATAATAAATTAAATTGAGATAAACTTAAGAAAATATGCCATGTTTTTTGGTTGCATGGATTCAATGCATTACTACAAAGTCGAGACAAAAATTTGATATGATCATAGAACTTTTCTTATTTCTATTAATCATTTACTAAACTTAGACACTAAAGAAATTGAGCAGTTAAAAAAATTACACAAATAATCGACCTTGAAATAATCTAAAAGTAATAGTTAATTTGGTATAGCTTGTGTATTAACAAGTCTACACAATCTTTCGACCACTTTGTTATTCCTAACGATGCAATGAAAAATGTAATTAGATCAGAATTAGGCTTCTTTGCTATGGGATTGAACTTAATATCTAGTCTAGAAAGGAGAGTGAAAAGTGTCTTCTCCAGTCGACCATTTGTGTCTAATGCATCAAGATTTCAATTCATGGATTTCTTTGTTCTTAAAATCAAGATAAGAGAATACTCTTCTCTTCTTTTAATTTCAATAAAATCCCTAAATGTTAATATTCAACACATCATGTATTATGGTCATCATAACTTACTCATCTAACTATTCAAGATTAATGATTCGGCTTGAATTATTAATATTAATAAATGTAATAAATCGACCATTTCAAGTAACAAAAATTTGATGAAAGTAAGTGAGATCACACGTCCATGTCAAAGTAGTGCCACCCTAGGCTGATCGGTGGACCAACAATACAGTACAAAATTATGTCACAAGGTACACTCACCTAGATCTATCAAATTATATGTCTACCAAATTAATAATTGAAGTATCATTAATTAATTAATTATAATTGTTTAATGACAAGCCCTTATTGATTGACCAAGGCAACCACCCTCTATACGCCCTATGTTGAGCCCACTTGAATTATACTCAAGATTGGACTCAAATTAATAGGACAAGGAAAATTAAATTCTAAGCAAAAAAATTACTCCAAATTCTACCTTTCAACTTTCAATTTCAAATATCACTGCCCCACACCACAACAACCCTTCAAATAGAAATTGAAAAAAATTTCTGTTGTCCACATTTTTTGAGGACAACGAGAAGAGTGATGGATCCAATCCCAATGAGAGGAACGGGCGACGAACTGAAGGAGCAGGGAGAGTAGGTAGCAAAACTAGAGGATTAAGTGAAGAGCAAATTGTTTTTTGAGGGAAGGAGCGGTTGGGAGCAAACCATTGTTGTTAACCTCGCGAATTGGATCTTGCATGTGGCTAATAGTGAGCTATTCCACATTTTCCTCCCTTGCGTGCAACAACAAACTGTCAGGTGTATATGGTCAGTCACGGTGGTAGTGGTGGCAGCCACATACACTCCGACGATAAAAGTCAGTCGACGGTGGTGGCGATGACACCAAAATGCCCAAGCTAAATTTGGGGAGGAGAAAATATAATTACTTTGTTAAGGAATGCTTATCCTTACTCTTGCCCAAACCTTTGGTATTTATAGGCAAAGGGCAATGCTAGATGTATAACACGTGTGATCGTCCGTCGGTGTGAGGCGTGTGCTCGTAGGCGTCTATTAATCGCTTCCTAGGTGGCCGGACAATTAATTCGGAGATGATATATGACAGAGATGTCACATCAATCATTCATAAAGATACAACAAAAATCTTGAACAGAAGATCTCTGAAATTAGCGACGGAGAGGTGTCTCTTTTCTCCGAGACGTGGCGCCTCTTCGCACTTTTGAATAAACGGTTCGGATGATATTACTTTGGCCATGTAAAGTCTCAAACTGTATCACTTTGATAATAATACGCCTCGGACCATATCACTTTGGTAATATGTTAGGGGCGTAATAGTGGTCCCCCAAGTTTAGGGACGAATATTCATATCATCAGCGGACTTTTAAGATCTAAATGTATGGTTGGTTCTTAGATTGCATGTATGTTAAAGCTTTTAAGTAGATAAACCCATCTTAACTGAGGCGTTAGCCCACAAGGGACGACGCGTGGGAGATAGCTAAAGCTTTTAATTGATTAAGCTCATCTCAACCGAGGCGCTGACCCACAGGGGACGACGCGTGGAAAACGACTAAAGCTTTTAATTGATTGAGCTCATCTTGACCTAGGCGCTAACCCACAAGGGACGATGCATGGAAGATGGCTAAAACTTTTAATTGATTGATGGGAGCCGAAGCGTGTTCTTCTCCGGGGTAGGCAATGATTTGAAAGCTCTCGCATGTTTCCAAGGAGAACAGTTAGATGTGACGTCTATTTACCAGGAAAGGGTGCTTCTACTACTCATAGCAGACAGCTGTTGAGGCTCAAGGTAAAGCGCTTTGGACTTTCATGAAAATCACTGCAAGAACATGTGCGTTGATCGAATTTGATGTTTCGTTTTCTGTGCGTTGATCGAATTTGATGTTTCGTTTTAACGGTGTAGAGTTATGATTCGATGTACGGCCCAGATCATTTGGTTTTGAATTCAACGGCGGAGATCATGCAAGGCTTCCATAAAAGGCGTTCCCCCTTTCCTTTGCAAGTTTTTACTTTTGCAAAATTTCACTTTCTTGCTTTTGAATATCTGTGTTCATCAAAACTTTCGGTGACTATTCTATGTGTTGGGTCATTTTTCGACGACTTTCAGTAAGTCTTTTTCGTGTTTTTCGGCGGCAAACTTGGTTTCCAATTCGTTTTGGTTGTCGATAGTGTTGGTGTTGGTACTAATGGTGGTGGTGGGGTGGCAGCGGTGGTGGTGGTAGCGATGTTGTGAGGTGGCGGTAGTATTTGGGTGGTGTTGATGGTGGTGGTGAAGTGAGTGTTGTGGAGGATAAAGAGCATTTTTGACTAATTATTTGGTTAATTATAGGTAATTTGTAATCAATAAATAAATTATGACATATAAAAGTATGTGATTTGTGATTAAGAGCCTGTTTGGCTCGGATTAAAATTTGATTTCAATTTAAGTTAAAGTCAAATAATTAATATTAACTACATTTTTCATGGATTCCACAAATTTTCAATCTACTAAAAAATTTAACTTTAATCCCCACCATTACCCTTGAAACTCGTAATTGTTATTCATATTTTATGTCCTTTTGACTTTAACGTTGTATAATTTGTAATTAGTGTGCAATTGTTACCATAAATTATATGTTATTGTAATATTTAATTAATAAACGGGTAACAAGAATTTGATCAAGTGATTTTTGAAAGAATTCAACAAGTTTCTTTAATTTGATCACCTAATTTCTGAAAAGAGTTCCACAAATTTCTTAAATTGGGTTGTTGGAGCCCCATTCTTATTAGAAAATGTATTTTGCAATAGTATTATGATTGAGAATGTATGATTAAAAAATAAGAAAATTTTTTGAATTGACATGTAATATTATTTTATTAAAGAATGTATGATTGAAATGAAGTCATATTACTGTTTAAATATGCATTTTAATAAATAAAAAATGGAGCTCAAATAAGGACTTAAAGTGCATTTTGAACTATGATAATTATGTATTTTTCTCATATTAATAATTAATGAGAGAATTAATCACAAAGAAGTTTAAGGTATCCTTTTTAGTACTAGTTTGAGAAATTCAATTTTTTTCTACGACTACGACTAGGACTAGGGGCACATTTCTAGTCTACCCTTTGGTAGAATTTAAGGCGGCAATTACGAGGTATGAACGGTGGTGGACTGGAATATGTTACAAAATCCACATGTCACATATTAAACTTCAAAGTCCTCTCGCATAATTAATGTCACCCACTTACCAAGTTAATGAAAAGCTGATACTACAATTAATATACATGACATTGCACATGGAAGATTCTTCTACATGCAAAATTTATATTGAAGTCAGAACTTAGAAACCCATAATACAAAATTTCAAAAATTTCATGGGTAATATGTTAAATAGTGCATAAAAGTTACTTCCTTTTAAGCTGCTTTTTTTTCTGGATTTTATGAGCGAATGTTGACACAAAAAGAAAAAAAGGTAATTTAAAAGTAATCTTTGAACCGATCTAATACACAGCTTGAGAGATTCAGGATAGATGCACTGACAATATCAAAATTCAAGATTCCAAAACATAGGCTCCCACAATATTTGTTCATATTCATGCATCAAACAAAGAAGAAAATCCAGAAATAAGTAAAATCCATAATAGTATCACGTGCATTGCAAATTACGTTGCTGGTTAATTAATAATTAAGTTAAGAGAAAACGTTAAAGAGTTTTAAGTCTTCCAACCCCCAAAACAAATTAACGAACAAGCAAAAAACACTTTTTTTTGGCTAATTATTCTTCAGATTTCATTACTGACCAAAGTCTTGTTCATAGAGCTCTTGCAATGCGCGATTGCACCCTGGATTGCATTCTGCAACTCCTCCATGGAAGAAGAAGAATCCGAATACCCGTTCACGGGTTGAACTGCGAACCCCTTTTTACTGATAACCCCAGAGTGGCTCGGTGATGATCTTATGGACGATGGACAGCTCGAACCTATGCAATTTCTACGTCTGGGATATCTTAAATTCCCCGAGAATGAGTGTGAAATTGTTGCATTGGTGCTCTCTTTTCGAGAATCTTCATGCGCAGAGATTTGAGATGTTTTTTCGATGGATCCATCGGGTTTTGAGGGAATTTTCTGTTGATGTTTTTGCGAGAGTTTTTCGTATAAAGGCTTGACTTTTTTCAAGTACTTTCGAATGACGTCTCTAGCAGTTGAACTCACACGCTTCACAGATGATGAAGGTGTGGTTGAAGATGAAGATGAAGATGTGTTTTTGGGTTCTTTACGAAAAACCGAAGAGAATCGAGAGAGGGAGAAGTATTTCGATGATTTTTTTGGATAATTGAGTGAAGAGGTGGTGGTGTTTAGGCTTTTGAATTCGTCGTCAGTGGCGGAGCTGGGGCGGGAGGAGTCGCAGTCGGGGAGGTGGTGGAGAAGGAGGTCACTGGATGTGGAGGAGTGGGAATCCGTGGAGGAATGGGAGTCACGGGAGGCGGTGGTGGTGGTGTCGGAGGAGGAGGACTTGGAGGAGGAGGCGAGGAGGAGGGTTCGTACCATGGAGAGACGAGGAGAGAGGTGGAGGGGGAGAAGTTGGCCTTTGTAGAAAAGTTCGTCGGCAGGGCAGAGGGCGGGGGAGGATTTTCTGGGTGAGTGGGAGATGGTGAATTCGAAGTCGGAGGAGGAGGAGGAGGAGGAGTAGGTGGGGGAGGAGGGGAGGGTGTGGGACTTGGTGGAGAGGTGTTTTCTCTCTGTTCTCCGGCCCATCATGCGACGGAGGCGATTACATTCTCATGAATTACTCGGTAGCGTTGATGGCGGTACGCGTGGGTCTTGGTGGTGGGGGGGAGTTGAAGACAGTTTGGAAGGGAAGGTGTTCTCACAATCTGGCACAGTTTGTGAGCGAGAGTATTATTTATGCAGCTCTAATTAATAATTATTATTTCAAAAAAAAAAATTTAACTATTGAGAGAATTTTTATTTTTTTCCCCGCTATTTGTTATTAATTAATTATTTTTAAGATGTGCATCCATATTAATCTAAAATGCATAAAAACATCAACTGGATCTCGACGCTTCAAAATTGTAGTGAGATTTATACTAAGGAAATAACCTCATAAGTCACAAGGTAAAAAAAACTTCAATGAGACGATCACATATGCAAATGTGGAAGGACAATTTAATCAAATCATTACATATCGAATTTTGTGCCACTCAAATCACGACATCTTGATATTTGGTGTGGTAAGAGAAAGAAACAAAATCGGTGCAAATGTCGAGATGTGTAATTTTTATGGATCAAGGTTCGAGGTGTTGTGATTTGAATGAACAATCCTATCACGTATGAATATAGGACTATCATACCAAAACTTCTCTCCTCAGGGAAATAGTAAATCTGGACTCTACGGTACTTTTTGTCAAGTTACAAAAGAATCCATTTTTTAACAATTAAACAAACAATTTTATATGTTAGTTACCTAACCGTCACCAGCTAAAAGGTTAGACATTACGATGCTCTATTTTCAATGTTGAAACTGCAAATGTAAAAAAAACTTGATTGTACTCTTCTTGAAATACCAAACATGTCACATATTATCATATGTCAAATACAATCTCTAACATACGTATTTAGCGGTACCAAAATTTCTATATCAAATTGACGGTTTCATCCATCTATGGAGACCTAACTACTGCGAGTTGAAAGCTAAGTGCCCGAATGTTTTGTTTCCTACTAACCTTCTAAGGTTGTCCGTCATTCCAGATCATTTGCAAAATTATCAATTATGTGTGTTACATCTCTAAAATAGTTAATTTTCAAATGGGAGAGAGAGAGAGAGAGAGAGAGAGAGAGA